TTTCACCTAAATTTGCCCCTTTGCACCTTAAACTCCTCAACGCTCACCAACGTTGGCACCTTATTCTCCCCCAACCCCCCCCCCCCCCCCCCCCCACGTTAAGGGTAAAAAAAATTGAGTAATTTTGTTGAAACTTAACAAAAAGTAACCAAATTTAGTTTAAATAAAACGTGCTTCATTTTATTTTTTTATTTTTCTATACAAAAGGAAAAAATCGATTACAGTAGAATTTCAGTGGTTTGAAATGCATTATCAAATTACAGCAATATAAAACAATTACAGCAACTTTTAATTAATTATAATCGATTTTGTTTTTTTTACTAGTATAGACATTGATGTTCAAATTCATTTTTAATCGATTTCTTTTTTCAAGGAACTCCAGAGCGGGTCATTCGCCTTTGACTTAGAAAGCATAAGTAAATTTACAAAAAAAAAGCAGATCATTTTTTTCTTTTTGTAAAATTTGTTCACCTAGATCATTGTGGTCGGAGTTTTCTGTAGTTCTTGCTTAAATTGGCTTAACTCTAAATATTTCTTTCTGGTCCTTATACTATAATTACACTTATCCAGAACTTGCTTATTTTTAATGTTAATTGAGAAATAAAAATACACAAAAAATTTAGAATCGATTTTTTTATATAAAACTTCTGCCCAGTTTAGAAGCTTTTAGGTACAAGTGACAGTCTGTTTGAACATCAAAAAAATGGTCAAAGCAACAATTTTTATGCAGTCTGACTTAAGAACAGTTCTAAAGAAAATATAGCAACCCACAAGTAGGTAAAAAGAAACCCGAAAAGCCTCATTTGGTTTTGTGTATAACCAGATGAAAATAATTTTAATTTTTCGCTTGATTTCCGAATGTACCCTTAGGTATAAAATAATCAAACATTTCTCTAGAATCTGAAATAAATTAGAAATAAAATAACGGCGCTCAATATTGAGCTTTGGTGGCTTGGTGGTAACAAATGGGTACGTTAGAAGTGAAAAACTGATGATTCGACACTAATCGTAAAAACTAACAAAAAACTTAAATAAAATATATATATATCTCTTCAATTTGTATAAAATCAGCATTGCTCTATCAATGAATCAGTAAAGTTATGCTGATTTTCATAATGTTCAATGAATCCCTAATGCAACTGCAAAACTGTTAGAAGTCAAATGTAATATTTAAGTTTCTGAAACATTACAGAAGCTTCAATGATTGGACGGGTAATACTAATAGCTTAAATGATTTTATTTAGTACCATTTAACTGCAAAAGAACAGACCGTCATTTGAGCAGTTAATATCTCTACGGCATAATTGTGCCGTATTTTTTTTTCATAAATTGGATCAAAATAAATCCTGAAATTATAAAGGCGTTGGCAAAATCCAGATTTGGTAAAACTTCTATTTTTCGGGCTCCTTTTACTTTTCATGAAACTCAATTTTTGGTTTTGTTTTTTCAATCGAATTTATCATTATCTTTAAAATTAATAGGTTGTCAGATATTTCCCTTTAATTAAAAATTGAACAGACACAAGCACTAGTAATTCGTAGTTTGCTTCAAAAGTTTAAATAAATATATGCAAAGGGCAGAATTTATTGTTCCATCCATCCTCTAAAGCGGTAGGCGTAAGGTTTTCCTGTTTTTTTTTGCCTAACAAAATTGTAAGCAAAAAATAGCCCCTCTTATGTGCTTTAACTATGATGAGGTCTTAGAATTTGCAGGTGAGATTTATTTGGAAAGAATCGGTAGATTTATGAGTCGGACTGAATTTTTCGTATCAATTCTACTAACTCACAGAAAATTGGTAAAGGATCAAATAGATCGTCTCCAGACGCCATTCGATTTGAAAAGCACTTCAAAAACTAACTCAACAAAAATTGTCGACAAAAATTGTTTTGATGTATTTTGTTTTCGTTTTTCAAAGTAATTTTAATGAGAGTTTGAGTATGTAGTTATACTGAAAATAAAGTAATTTTAGCTGTTAATTCCCCTCTTTCTTTCAATATCTTCCAAAATTTCGCGCATCTAAGAAAAGTGAAAAATCAATCAATCACAGTGATTTTTTGTTGTTAAGATGTTATCAATAGAATTGATTCCCATGGTGCCGTCTGACAACAAAATGGAAAAAAATTGATCGTAATCCATCGTTTTTATCCAGTTTAAAAAATCATAACTCATTCAAAAATATATAAAAATGGATTTTTTTCACTTTCTTTTCGTTTCGCGTGGTTCAATTTTTGCAAGCATTACTGCATTTACCGAATGAGTCATGCACAAATTTTGCAAAGGGACTGTAAAGCGTTTTCGTTTTCGAAACCTGAACTTAGTCAACGTTTGCCCCTTCTCCCACGTAGGTTTGCCCTTTGCACCTTGCCCCCACCACCCATCAACCTTTGCCTCTTACTCTCCACCAACGTTTTCCCCTTTGCCCTATTAACCCTCCCGCAACAATTCTCCCTTTGCCCCCACCAAAGTTTGCCCCTTTGCTCCATTTGCCCCCTTATTAGCCCCCCCCCCAAAAAATTTACTTTTTTGACCCCTTACCAGCCCCCTCCCACGCCCCCAAAGTTTAGGTAAATTAGGAAAATAATTGAAGGTAATAAACTTGAGTAACATTAAATGAAAAACAAAAATCAAAGGTGCACTAAACAAATTGTTGAAACTTAGCAAAAAAAATAACAACTTTAGTTTGAATAGATTGTGCAAACGACTTTGTGTGTGTGCTGACATTTGCTTCTCAAGGAGGTGGAAAAAAAGTTTTTAATTGACTTTCAATGGATTTTGATGTATTATTAAACTTAATCCATTTTTATTTAATTGAAATCAAATATTTTTGATTTCTGCAGATACTGATCAAATTGAATTTTAATCAATTCTATTTATGGTAATCGAGTGCGGTTTCTTTGCCTTTGATTTTGATTTCTACAGATACTGATTATATTGAATTTTAATCAATTCTATTTATGGTAATCGAGTGCGGTTTCTTTGCCTTTGACATAAAAAGATCTAATAATTTTACAAGAAAAAAGGATAATATTGTTTTTTCTTTGTTTATAAAACTGTTCACCTAGATCATTGTGGTCGGAACTTTCTGCAGCTATTGCTCCGCAATGCACAATTTTTTTTGTTATTGAATTGATGTTAAAAAAATTGTCAGAGATTTATTTACAGTTCAAAACAGCAAATCCTAGCTTCAACTTTTTTGAAACAAAGTGAATGAACTTGCTCTTCTTCCTTGTGTAATTAAATCTCTATGTGTTAAAAGTTATTCGGACAGGTAGACATACGTTTTAAGGCCAGTGGAACATTTATATTTTTATCACTCAAATGAAGTAGTAAGTTTTTTTTTCTCCGCGAACATTAAAAACAATGCAAAAACTGGTCCAAATATACTGTTCCGTTCAACAACCGGGGTTTTTCTGACTTAATTTCTATTAGATAATAAAAAGTAAAACCAATCTGACATTTTCAGGATAGGGGCGAGCGAATTTTTGTTTTCTTGGACAAAAAAACTTTGACAAAAAAACTTTACAAAAAAAGGATATCGTAGATGATTTACGAAAACAAACAGCCTCAACAACTTCGGAAAAACATTTTTTTACAGTAGATTTTAATCCGTCAGTTACGAAATTTAGGATTTCAGTTACAAAAATTTTTTAAATTTATACAAAATTTTCTCCAACTAAAGCTTTTAAACAAGAATTTGAATCGATTCAAAACTGATAGGAATGAATTATTCGTGTTACTGAAATTTTGATCATTTTATATCAGCCTAAATTTTTATTCAAACTGATATAATTTGTCAGTGCGGTTATTGAAATAAAAATAATCACTACGGAGTCTTTAGAAAAACGCTTAAAGGCAAAAATAGGAATACTTTGGCTTTGTATTATATAACTTCAATTTGTTTTCTCTATTTAATTTGGCAATTAAAAAACTGGCAATAAAAACAATTGTTGTTTTGGATTACAATTTAATCAACCGCTTTACTTTTGTTTGGGCAGGTATTAATTAAAAATATATATTCCGTTTTCTTCGAAAATTGGAACAAAAAACGTTTATTTTTCAGTCTGAGTTTTTCTTAATTGTTAGGTTCCCTTAAATGGTAAGTTTTGTTCATTATACAGTAAATTTTTGATTGAAACAAAAAAAATTGTTTTTTACGTTTTTGTCGTGAAAAAATAAGCTTTTAGAAAAAACTGAAAGGCAAAAAAATTGGAATACTTTGGCTTTGTATTACATAACTTCTATTTATTTTCTCTGTTTGATAATAAAATTTGGCAATAAAGGCAATTGCTGTTTGCAATTACATTTTATTCAACCGCTCTACTTTTGTTCGGGCAGCTATTAACGTTTTTGTCACATTTTTGTCGTTTTCTCTGCATATGTTCGAATTAGAAGGACTGAATTTCGACAAATGTTAGTTCTTATGTTTTTTTCGAAGATATTTTTATAGCGATAGCACCCCTGCAAATAGTTATGCGATACTGGCAATCTTACGGTATCAAGACAAGACTTCCTGATTTTCGATCAGGCTAGCTGCTTCCAAATAGTTTCATCTAGCAATTTGAATGGTATATGTTAAATAGTTGCTGCGTAAATGGCAAAAACGGAACGAAAAAATATATCGTTTGCTTGTTGAAATCAAAAATTTGCATTTTCTATGTCCCGTGACCGTATTTCTCAAAAAATCCGCCGCTGAGCTTAACAACGAATGTATTTCAAGATTAACTAAAAATTATAATTATAAAATAGCTCTTTTAATTAAAGAGCAAATAACCAATTTCATCTGATTAAAACTTGTTATATAAACCAGCCGAAGTATCAACCAGCCAAAAATATTGAAGTGTTATATACTTTTATTGATGCGATGAAATGTTTCCGTTGGTTTATAATTCGACTAGTTTATTAACTCTAAATTATAATTAACAAGTCGTGATTTATATCGTGGCATAACAATACTTGATACATTTTGCAGTCCAAATGTGTAAAATCGGGCATTTTTTCAGGTGCAATTTATTACGTACAACTGTATAGATGGTATGCAAGCTACCACTGTCATGGTTTGTGCTATGGACCAGCTGGTGGCCATAGTATGGCCTCTGTACTACCACTGCTTCAAGAGCAAAGTGAACAAAGGTCTCTTTGCGACCATGATCGGGTGCTGGTTGGCCATGATTCCCATCCCTGCCTTGATGTTCTTCAAAGCGGAACAGATCAATTGGGTTGCCAGCTTCTCCGGCTGTGGAGTCTACATCAAGTCCCACGAGCTCATCAGAGGTAAAGTTTGCCTCTCTTTAACTATTTCTCCTTTAGTACCAAAGAGCAAAAGATGACATTCTTTTTTGTTGCGACTTTTGCGAATCAGCTTGCACTATTCTGATTATGATACTTGTGTCACACTGGTTTTTTAGACTAAGGGCAGTTTTGGCAACCCTTATATTAGATAAACAACTTTAAGTTAACGCCAACCATAAATCTGTTTGGCTTCTTTGTGAAACGGTGCGAAAAAATGAGATGTTACTTTACTATATCACAATTTATCTTTCGGCAGACGAAAGGAACTTGCTAGGAATATACGTAGTTTGCGGCCCTAATTTCAATTGACCCAATGAATGCCATTTCTTCTCATAATAGTTCTCATTAAGCTTGCTTTAAATATCCGTGGAAAGACGAATGATGATTTTCACAATCATTAGATTCTCAAAAAAAAATGAAATAAATTACGTTCTGATAGTCTAACATTTTATGTGCCTCATTCGAGTTGTTAGTTTATTTTGTGTAACCCCTTAAAATCTACGAAAGTCGGTAAAACAAGAGAGCTCATATATGAGGGCAAGACTCAATGTTCAGACTCAGGGGCGGATCTAGGATTTTCTCGAGGGAGGGGGGCGGATTTTCAAAAAATTTTCCAAAATTTTGACGACCTTTTTTTTTAGGTCAACCAAATTGATTTTTCGAGCTCTGCCAAAGCTCTGTTTGGCCCCTATTTTGGCAAAATTTTCTGGGCCGCAGGCAAATTTTTGAAAAAACAATCAAAAAAGCCGTTTTTGGGCACTTTTTGAAAAAATGTTACAAAAAAATCGCGTTTTTTTTGGCGCGCGCTCCCCCTCAAAGTTACTATATATTGGCGCCAAAGGCGCCTTTAGAAAAAATTTTAGGGTCGGTCGGCCAAAAATGGATTTCTGAAAAAGTATCAAAGGGGGGACCCTTTGGGTCGGCAGGGGGTCGAATCCGTGAGGAAGGGGGGGCGTCCGCTTCCCCCCCCCGCCCCCTTCTAAATCCGCCCCTGTTCAGACTGTTTGTTTATCGTCAACAGCCAATATAAAACAGAAAGAGACAAAATTTGGTCCTAAACATACTAAGACTTCTCGTGTCAGGTTGAAGCTCTGAATGTTTTGACTGCTATTTAAGTTCCGTAGAGTACTGTTCTCTTTAAAAAAAAAGATGAAATTTCATGAAAAAAGTTACTGTTGTTTTTCAGGATTTTATTTTGAAAATCATCCACCACACGTTATGTAAAGTACAAAATGATAGAGTTAGCATATAGCAAAGTATCACATAAACCCAATAGCATCCCTCAGTTCAATTGTGAACGAATTCTAAGACGGATTAAACCTACGCTTCCGTGTAAATAGCACAAAATGTATTGTTCGTAAATTATCCCAAACTGGCCAAATTGGCAATCAAATTTACAAAAAAGATCACAGGTGAAATATCTTTTGAAATATGAGCTCATGACAACAACACTTTTTGTCTGATATAAAAACTTCGTCAAAAACGTCTAGTTTTAAATTCGAATTTTGTCTGGAGAAAAAAAACACCCCGAGCCCAAATATTCCGTCACTTTCTTCAAAAGTCGGAATAACAAGACTGCTCTTATATCAGGGCGAAGCTCTGATTGTTCTGATTGCACTTTGGAGCCAACTTTAAAGTTTTTGATTGAAGAACTGACAAAATGATTTAAAAAATTATCGTTTCTTAAAGTTTATATACCCAAAACGGTTATGTGATCACAAAAGGATGTTTTAAGAGTCTTGTATTTCTAAAGTAAGACCAGATGATTTGCCTCAATCCAATATGAAACGCTTTTATCTGCTGCGTGTTATAATAAAGTAAAAATTTGCCGGTTAATTAGACCAAATTGTTCAAATTAGCAATTTTCAAAAAACATAACCAACATTAATCACAGGTGAAATGTCTTTTTTAAATTAGGCTTCAGACAAAAAACTTCTCGGATAGTACATAATAACTCTGTTAAAACTGCGTGGTTAAGAAGTCAAAAATTGACTGAATAAAAACCACCCGAAGCATAGTTATTCTACACTTTGAAAGTCGGAACAATTATCTCTAAGAACTAATAATTCGATTCTCGAATTTTTTCTGAGAAAGTCATCCCAATAACTTAGATTTTTTTACTTTTTTCAAAAATTGAAAAAAGTTTTTTAGTGATAGGGTAAAAACAAAGGTAGTGCAAATTCGTCCAATTTTGCAGACAAGTCAATTTTTTCAAGCAATCTGAAAGATTTGAATCTTGTTAGAGCTTTTGAATTGTCAGTTGTACAAAATGCCAAACTGTCCACATATGGAAGGATCTCTTTATACAAAAAAAAAGATTTTAAAGGAATGGTGCAAATTTGAGGCATAAAATTGTCCATAGAAACAGTTCGAACAAAATATTCGTAGAGAAAATACTAATGACTTTTTACCTCCATGACTTTTTGTCGACTACATTGACTTTCAAAAGAAACGTTTTTGTTATCTTTTTGAAAAATTTCACATTGAATTGTATTGTATAACTCGGTTTTATACAGATTCTATTTAGATGTTATGCAGAATCTAAACGGATTTTTTTAACCGCAAAAAAATCCATTTTCTAGACTATTTAATCAATTTGTCTGAACTGTGTCAAACCCCTATATTATCTATTTTAATGTCTTATTGATTTACATACAATCAAAATTTTCTTGTTGAAAATCTGTATAAATATCTTTTATAATCAATTTGAATTTTAGTTTTGCCAGAGTGATCTTTTCCTGGTGTTTGGTTTTTTGACAGTTATTTAAAATACTGATTTTCAATTTTTAAATTTTCAACAAAATAACTTGTTGATTATTTGACGAAAGGTAAATTTGGGACAAAGGAATCTATTAATTTTTTAGAACTTCGGCAAGTCCAGTAAACAATGGTGTGCAGGAGAAACTGTAGTTTCATTTTGTTTGGTAGCAACTGTACTCCAACCTATTCACTGAAGCTTTGGTGTAATAAACTCCTTTCGTTGTTCTGTGTCAAATCCAAGACTTTTTCGTTTGTCTTATCTTCCAATACACTGCTAGAACATGTATGTTTAAGATAATTTTTTATTCAAACAAGCCTCTTGTTTTACTGAGTTTTTTATGCCATCTGAAAGATGGAACGGAAACTTGAAAGATATTTCATGTGCAATCATTTTTGTGTAAAATTGTGGTGGTTGAAAGATTCCATATAAGGTCAAAAAAACTTTTGGCTTTTTTCACCAGTTTTCGCTTAACGCGCAGAGCAAGAGCAAGAAAAAGGGGATGGGTAATTGTTGAAAAAGGGAAAGGGGTAATTGCTAAGTAGATCCCATTTATAAAAGGATAAAAACGTCCTATTTTTTCCGAACTAATCAAACCAAAAATCCAAAAGACCGAACTAATCAAACCAAAAATCCAAAAGACTTGGAAAGCAATAAGTTTGCTTTCATCAATTTAGATAGCAAAATTCCAAGTAGTATAACGCAAAACCTTTTTCCGCTATCCGAAGCAAATTTGTTTTTCGGCTATCCGGGGACAATTTTTTTCAGATACTCGCAAACCTAAACCATGTCGGCTATCCGGGAACAATTTTCTCCACTAATTAATAAAACAACACCATTAATAAACAGGCTATCCGGGTATTTGGCAATCCATGGCTTGAATCTTTAAGAATTACAGGTCTCTGATTCTCATATTTGCACTTGAGAAATTAGAATTGCGTTGTTTAGTTCAGTGATAAAGTTCCATAGAAAACAATTGACGTCTTAAGAGCTGTCTTTTTTGTTGGAAGTGCAAGAAAGAGGCAATTTTTTTACCTTACTTGGCGTTATGGGATTTTGAAAAATCTAGCAAAATTTTTGATTGAGTTACCAGTTTAGGGCAAAGAAACTTTTCGAAAATTAGTTTTAAGATTGGACGATATTAATTCAATTGACACTTAATTCGAAGAAAAAATTCAAAAAACCTTTTTGCCAACAGTAAGCTAATCCTTAAAAAATTAAGCCAAATTAAGTTACTCGTTTTGTATAATTTGGACGGTTTTTGCGGAAATTTTTGTCAAAGTAAACAGAGGGAGCTAGGGAGGAGGGGGTGAGGCCTAGGAGCAGCAGATATGTCTGTGTTAGGGTAAATATTTCATAACAAAAGAAAAATCATTGGATTTGAAGTGTTGACGGTTTTTTTTTAAGTTATTGCAAACAAGCTGAAAGACAAATTGAAAATTTCGAATTTTCCCTGGTACGAAGAATCTTTCAGTATTTTCTGCAATTTACTGCTATAATTTGAAAAAAAAACAAGAAAAAGTAAATTTCAAGTTATTCTCATCTGATTTGAAATAACCTTCAAAAAATTTATTGATTAAACAGTTACGCTCCGCTGGCAAGTGAACGTTTGAACCCTCAAAATTTGAAATTATTTTGTTTCAATCATAGAAAATTTTCAACTACGCGATGTATTTAAGAGAGGTTAAAAATTTGTCTTAAGAGGAACTCTTAAAAACGTATATTTGGCCTATTTTTGGCCTATAGAAACTGATTAAAATAGACTCTATCTAATAATTTGCAATGGCTCGGAAAATCATTTAGCTTGAAATGTAGAATTGGTAAGAAAAAAGTCCTCTCCACGAGAAAATATTAGACAAGCAACTTTCTGACGGGAAGAGAAAAAGATCAGATCATTTTAACGAACGTCCTCCACTACAAAGACCAATTGAGCTATTGCTGCTCCACTAAAATGGTACAAAGCAACGAGAAGCGTTATCAAACAAAGCAGTGGTTGTCATGTAAATAACGCGCAATCATTTGAACGAGTGAAATTTATTTTGATTGAGCGTGAAAACAAGTTTTTGAGATAAAAATCAAATTTAAAAAATGTGCTTTGAATCTTGCTTTGACGAAAGTAAGTTGCCAATGTTGGTGCTCTAATCTCCAATTTCAAGTAAAAAAACTCTGAGACAGTCAGCTGGAAAAAGAATTTCTTCGAAATTAATAAAAGAATGCTCTTGTT